AAGTTTTTTGGAGAGGGTTTCTAGGCGATGAGACGATGGAGACTAAAAAGGGTTTTCACGTATTAAAAGAAGGGTTTCTAACGGTTGAGTACAGAAAAGGAAGGGTGTCAGTTGAACAGACGTGATGATTGTTTTTCCTTCTTTGAACTCTGCAACTGATGTGAAAAGAGAGGAAAGAGAGGGAATTCGGAGGCGCAATTAATGATTAGAAAAAAACAATAAAGTTTGAACATTAGGCATACAAAAAGTAATAGTAACACACAGGTCCTAATATTAATGATTAATGCAAATAATACCAAGTAATTCTCTTAGAAAGCAAAATCTGTCCTCTAGTAATGGCTTAGTAAAGATATCCGCTAATTGATCATTAGTTCCAATAAAAGATTGTTCTATATTTTCCTTAAGAACATGATCTCTAATAAAATGATGCTTGATGTCTATATGCTTTGCGCTAGAATGATGCACAGGATTTTTTGAGAGACATATAGCACTAGAGTTATCAAAAAAATTGGAATACGTTTAAAGAATAATTCATAGTCACCTAATTGATGAGACATCCATAGTAATTGTGCACAACATTGTCCAACAGCGATATACTCAGCCTCAGTTGTGGATAATGCGACTGATCCTTGCTTTTTACTGTTCCAAGATATCAGTGCCTTTCCAAGTAATTGGCATGTCCCACTGGTGCTTTTTGTGTCTTCCTTATCACCTGCAAGATCAGCATCTAAAAAACCTTCTAGTTTAAAATTGTTAGATCGTGGATACCGTAATCCATGAGAGACAGTTCCAATGATATATCGAATAATTCTCTTTACTGCAATCAGATGTGATTCCTTAGGAGCTGACTTAAACTTGGCACATTTAAAGACACTAAACATAATATCCGGTCGACTAGCAGTTAGATAAAGAAGTGAGACAATCATTCCACGATACTTAGTTTTATCAATAGGATTTCCGTGTTCATCTTTGTCGAGACTTGTTAAAGGACTCATTGGTGTGCCAATAGCTTTAGCATTGCTCATACCGAACTTTTGAATCAACTCCTTTGTATATTTTGTCTGACATATGAATGTTCCTTCTTCAGAATGTTGAATTTGAAGTCCAAGAAAGAATGTTAGCTCTTCCATTATACTCATTTCGAACTCAATTTGCATAAGATTTGAAAATTCCTTGCACAGAAAAGGATTAGCACTACCAAAAATAATATCATCAATGTAAATTTGAATAATGAGATTACCTTCTGATGATATTTTAATAAATAGGGTAGTGTCTACTTTACCTCTTGTAAATCCTTGATCAATAAGAAATGAGCTAAGTCTTTCGTATCATGCTCGTGGAGCTTGTTTCAGTCCATACAACGCTTTGATCAGTTTATACACATGGTAGGGAAACTTTGAATCTACAAATCCAGGAGGTTGTTCCACGTATACTTCCTCTTCAATAAGATCATTCAAAAAGGCATTTGACATCCATTTGGAATAGCCTGAATCTTTTAAAGAATCCGTATGCAAGAAGAACTCGTATAGATTCCAGTCGAGCTACTGGAGCAAAGGTTTCGTCATAGTCGACTCCTTCTTGTTGTGAGTATCCTTGAGCAACTAATCTGCTTTGTTTCTCACACCTTTTCCATCCTCATTTAGCTAATTTCTGAAAACCCATTTTGTTCCAGTTACGGGAGTATTTTCAGGCTTGGGCATCAGTTTCCATACTTGATTTTTGTCGAATTGGTCTAGCTCTTCCTGCATTGCTTGCAACCAGCTTGAGTCTTTCAGAGCTTCCTCTATTTTCTTTGGCTCAATCTGAGAAATCAGTGCTATGTTTGCTTTCTTCTTGAGAGCTCTCCTGGTTTTCATTCCTTCGCTTGGATCTCCTATGATGAATTTTTGAGGATATTCAGGTTCACTTCTCCATTCATTTAGACGAACTGTATGAGTAGTTGACTCCTTCGGAGATTCTGGTTGATTGTTGCTGATTCATTAGTTGACTCTATCACACCATCAGATTTATTAGTCGACTCTTGAGATTTGCTTGTCTCCTGAATTTCTTGAGTTTGATCTTCATCACCTGCAATAATTTCTTTCTCGGCTGAAATGTTATTCTTATCAAATATAACATGTACTGATTCTTCCACACACAGTGTGCTTTTACTATAGACTCTAAAGGATCTACTATTTAATGAATAACCTAGAAAAATACCTTCGTCACATCTTGGATCAAATTTTCCAAGATTGTTCTTACCATTATTGTGAATGAAACACTTGCTTCCAAACAGATAAAAGTAGCTAATATTGGGTCATTTACCTTTCCACAATTCATAAGGAGTTTTCTTCAAAATGGGCTTTATGAGACATTGGTTGAGAATGTGACATGCAGCACTTACTCCTTCTGCCCAAAAGTGATTTGGCAACGAATATTCTAGTATCATAGTTCTTGTCATATCTTGCAAGGTCCTATTTTTCCGCTCAACGACTCCATTCTGTTGGGGTGATCTTGGGGCAGAGAAGTTGTGGGTGTATCCTTGATCATTACAGAAATGTTCAAATGCTCTACTTTCAAATTCTCCTCCATGATCACTTTGGATTGTTGTAATCAGATACCCCTTTTCTCTTTCAACCTTCTTACAGAATATCTCAAAAAATTTCAAAGCTTCATCTTTATGAGATAAGAAAATCACCCAAGTAAAACGTGAGTAATCATCAACAATAACAAAAGCATATCGTTTCCTCCTATGCTAGCAGTTCTAGTAGGTCCAAATAAGTCCATATAAAGCAATTGCAAAGGCTTAGAAGTAGATACAATATCCCTGTTTTTGAAAGAGTTTCTAGTTTGTTTTTCAATTTGACAAGCATCACATTTATGAAGAAATTGAGTTTAGGCAAATCAATAACTAAATCATGCTTGGAAAGTTTTTCTATCAAATGCATGCTTGCATGACCAAGTTTCTCATGCCATAACCATGGATCATTAGATATGGATATTAAAGAGATATGACCATCTATATTTTCAAAGCCATCAAGAATATAAAATTTCCATACCTTTTACCTGGGAGGATTATTTTACCTATCTCATCTTCAATAGCAAAACCTGTTTTCTTGAACTTTACTTCATACCCTGAGTCGCATAGCTTACTTATACTCAGAAGATTGTAGTTAAGTCCGTCAACAAGATAAACCTCAGTGATATCGCAATTATTATAGAAAGGAACTATTCTGGTACCGAGTATTTTTCCTTTTGAGTCATCACTGAACTTGACACTTCCTCCGTCTATTTTTGTAACTTCCTTAAACAGGTTTTTGTCACCTGTCATGCGACTGGAACACGCACTATCTAAGTACCATTTTCCTTTGCGACTCCTCCTGTGGTGTTCCTACAAAATATAGTTATTAATTTCTTTTAGGTACCAGGCTTGCTTGGGTCCTGGTTGGTTAGTATTACTCGACTCAGGATTATTTTTGTGTTTCCAAATCCATCCTGAAATATTTGATTTACGAAATCGACAAAAGGAATATGTATGTCCACTTTTGTTACAGTAGTGACACGTAACTCCTAATCCATTTTTGGATCTTTCATTAGTGTTAGTACTAGTGGACTCTGTTCTGGCTGGTCCTTCTCCAGTTGACTTGTAAGTCGCCTGGTTTGACCTGACAGAACTATGACTGGTGGATTTGCGCATGCCATTGAGTTGCATTTGCAATTCCTCAAACTCTTCTTGAAGTACTTCTTTTTCAATTTCACATACTTCATGCTTGAGTTTCTAGTCTTTTACTTCTTTGTTGAGTCTCTTTAGTTCATTCATCATGTTTTGAGACTCTTTCAAAGTAAGGTCAAGAATATCCTGCAATTCAGTATACCTTTCATAGTTATAAGATCTTACCTCGCTTGTTTTACCTCGTTCCATGAAACAGTTCTCATTGTCATCTTTGCAGTCATCGTCTGAAGTGTCCTCATCTGTCCAGCACCGTGAGAGTTTGTTCATGTCGTTTTCCAGAATTATCATGAAGCAAAGATTTGCTATCTCTTCGTGTTCTGAACTGTCTTCATCACTCCAGCTTCCAAATGATTTGTTCTTATTAAAGCCTTTGGAAACTTTTCTTTTTAGATGAGGACATTCAGCTCGAACATGCCCAAATCTTCCACACTCATAGCATTTACCATCATTTTTTTCTTGTTCATTATATTGCCTAGTTCGCCTGGGTGGCATCCTTCCTCTTCTCGCATTCCTGTATCTCTTCATTAAACCATCCATATTCCTTGACACAATGGCAATTTCTTCTTGAAGAGCTTCAGGGTCATCATCAATTTCATTTTCTTCTTTTTCAGTTGTGGCCTTGAATGCAACAATTTTCTTCTTTTCTTCCTGGTTTGTATTCTTGAGATGAGTTTTCCCGAAAGCTATGAGTTCTCCTCGAAGTTCATCGTATGATAGTTTGTTCAAATCCAGTGATTCAAGAGTAACCACTTTTGTCTGCCAAGTAGTGCGTATACTTCTAAGAATCTTCCTAACTTGATCACCACTCGAGTATGGTTTGCCAAAAGCTTTTAGATCTCTAATGATTTTGCTAAATCTGGCAAACATCTCTTCAATAGATTCTCCTTCTTTCATCTGAAAAAGTTCATAGTCATGAACCAACATGCTGATCTGGGTTTCTTTCACTTTACTGGTTCCTTCATACGTAACTTCAAGTTTATCCCACATCTCTTTGGCTGTATCGCAACTGGAGATTTTTTCATACTCCTCACCACTTATAGCATTATAAAACAGATTCATTTCCTTATTTTTAACTTGCACAACTGCCATTTGCTCATATGTATATGAATCTATATCTTCAGGATCAACAAGTGGTTGAGCGGCGGCCGACAGAGGGTAGTTCCCCTTTTTGATAACTCTCCAGACTTTGACATCATAGGCCTTTGCGTATATTTCCGTACGCACTTTCCAATGAGAGAAATGTTATCCATTGAAATACGGTGGCCTCACTTGCGATGTTACTCATTGGAAAAGCGCTTCGATAATAACTTGATTTGACATGATCTTTTCTCACAAGCTGTTAAGCAAAAGAAAAATGTGAGCCTCGCTATGTTACCAATTGAAATTACTGTGACGACCCGACCCGTCGTCACGTGAGTTACCGCTTTGTTTTCCCCGTTTTCAGCTTCTTTATGCTTCATTATAAGATTCATGTGTGAACGAGTTGATTTGGATTGGTTTTAGAGGAAAATGAGACACTTAGTCTCTTTAAGGAAGGTTTGGTTTGGAAAAGTCAACCGGATGTTGACTTATGTGTTAGAGGGCTCGGATGTGATTTCCGGTGATTTGGTTAGCTTCGGGGGATGATTTGTGATGTAGGAGCGTGATCGGAAGTAATTTTGAAGGTCCGGTGTAGAATTAGGCTTGAATTGGCGAAGTTAGTATTTTGGCGAATTCCGATTGATAGGTGAGATTTTGATCCGAGGGCCGGAATGGAATTCCGAAGTTGCTGTAGCTTCGTTAGGTGATTTGGGAGGTGTGTGCAAAATTTCAGGTCATTCGGAGGTGTTTTGGTCGGGTTTTTGATCAAATGCGTGTTTCGGAAGTTTTAGAAGAACTTAGGCTTGAATCCGATGTAATATGATGGTTTTGGTGTTGGTGGAGGTGTTTTGAATATTGGAACAAGTTTGAATGATGTTTTAGGATGGATTGGCACTTTTGGTTGAGGTCCCGGGGGCCTCGGGATGATTTCGGATGGCCATCGGGATGAATTTTGGACTTGTGTCATTGCTGATATTTGCTGGTTCTGGTATTTCCGCATCTGCGGAAAAAGGACCGCAGATGTGGTTCCGCAGATGCGAAAAGGGAGTCGCAGGTGCGAGATTCTTGAGGAGTTAGTTTTCACAGATGCGGGCTTGGAGCCGCATCTGCGGTGTCGCAGATGCGGCGATGGAACCGCAGAAGCGGACATGGGCCATTGGGGTTTTCCGCTGAAGCGGGCAGGTGTTCGCAGAAGTGATGTCTGCAGAAGCGGATTTAGACCGCAGAAGCGGTCCTGAGCAAATGGTAAAGCTCACAGAAGCGGAGGAGTTCCGCAGAAGAGGTTAGAGGATCGCAGAAGCGAAAATGCCTGGACAGAAAGGGTTTTAAAAGTTTCATTTTGTTCCG